CTTGATCATGGCCATGTCGAATACTCCCGCGAAACTTAGTGTCGGTAGAATACTTGATTTATCCTTATCTACTTTTGGAAATGTACGTTTATATTGATATATTAATTATAAGAATGTGGTGGTGACATAAATGAAAAGTATACAATTAAAACTTTATATATCGGTAATTAAATTTCGCAGGTTTTAAAAACGACATTCGTATATTTAAACTTTCTTCAGACTGCTGTTATGTAATAATTATAAATGTTTTATTGTTTTCGATCATAAAATATTGAATAGTAAATAAAGAAATATGCTATAATGATAGTTGCTTAAATTTTTATAAAATATAAATATATACAGGATATTTCAAGTCGGATAGCACAATTAAGCATAAATGAATTCTTTATGAAAAATAAATCGAAAATAAAATATAGAATAATGATTTTTTATTTGAGATTTTATTTTCAAGAAAATGAATTTTGAAAATTCTTTGAATGTTTAAAAAACATATATATGCTAAAGATCATAGCAATTAGAAACAATTAAAAGAAAAAATCATATATTTATTTAATCAAATACAACAGAAAATTTATTTAATATTTATTCTGATCCATGCTTTTATGATTTGAATAATGTTTAGAACAAACTGAACGCTATTTTTAATAATTTCTTTAATAATATAAATTGTTTAATAATATAAGTTTATAATATTTTTAAAACACTAACATATAGTGCAATCAAACAAATAGTGTAGAAGTTCTTAAATAGTGCATATTTAAAGAATTTTCAAAATTTAATTTTTTAAAAACGAAGCTTCAAATGAAAAATTATTATTTTATATTTTCAATTTATTTTTCATAAGAAATCTATTCTATTATACTAATCGATTTGAAAGATGAAATATATATCTATATAAAAATATTAAGGTAAACATAAAATATTTGTCTACTTACAATGATAAAACCAAGCTGCGCATGTATTTTGCCTTAACCAATAGATTCTAAAAGCCAACCCCAAAGAGGTTTGTTGTGCCTGCGTGGAATAATCTCTGGGTGTAACCTATTGAGAAATAAATTAAAGCAAATTCTTATAAATATTTTTTATGTTTGAGAAACAATAATAAATTTAATGAATTTAAATAAATAAATTAAAAAAAATTATTCTTTCAAACAATTTTTTTGTTCAAAAAAATATATTATATTACAAAAAGAAATTGTAATAACTTATTGAATTATTAATTCTTGATTACACACACACACACACACACACATATATATATATATATATATATATTCAAATCACATTATATAATTTCAAAAATCATTCACATTATTGGAACAATATATATATTACTTAAAGAACTTTTTAATCATCATACACTTACACCTCCTTTCCACTTATGGCTAGAATATAAAGTTAGATTCTATAGTAACTTCAGTTAGCTCTCGCTATAATTTTAAACGTTCGATTCTCTGATACGTTAATAATCGATTTCGAAGTACTGGAAAAGATGCACGCACACAATAGCACGAACGTGAATCGACTATCTTGCAATCAATGCCATCAAACTGTTGTAAACAGTCGTTTCCGAACTATCTACGAACATGCACCTCTTCGTTCGAGATCAAACCAATCAACCACGAAATCTGAATTACGAGAAAGACATCGTTTACGTGACCAAACATAATAAATGGATTTTAAATTCCATTGGTATTTGGCCAACCGTATTAAAAGGCATTGACGAATATTTACCAAAAATTGCAATTGGACTGAGTAATTTAATATTATCCTTCACCGTGATTCAATGTATTCTACATATATTATTGGAGCAAAAGGATCCGATACTAAGATTGAAAATCCTTGGTTTAACTTGCTTTTCTTTTATCTCATTGATGAAATATTGGGTTTTAACGATGCGCAAACCAAAAATCAAACACTGTATAGAACAGATACAACACGATTGGAAACAGGTCAGTTACAATAAATATTTTTTATCTTTTTTTCTTTTATTACAAATATTGGTATTTATGTGAAAAAGTTTTTTTTAACAAAAAATTGAAATCGCTTGACAGGTAGAATTCGAAAGAGATCGAAAATTAATGTTAAAATACGGGATAATAGGCCGAAATTTGAGCATGTACAGTATTGTTTTCATGTATAGCGGTGGTATAATTTATCACACAGTTATGCATTACAAACTCGGATCATATATTGATGAGTATAATCGTACGATTAAATTACTGATATATCCTACATATAGTCGTCTCTACGACGTTCAAAAAAGTCCAGTTTATGAATTAATTTATATTCTCCAATGCATCTGTGGATACATGTTCGATGCTGTAACAGTTGGTGCATGTGGTTTGGCTGCACTTTTTGCAACGCATATTTGTGGACAGATTGATATCGTTATGGCCAAATTAGAGGATTTAGTTGATGGAAAATTTTCGAAAGAAAATTCAAATCCGAATATACGATTGATAGAAATTATCGAACATCATATAAAAATTTTAAGGTACAAATAGAAAAGTGATGTAAATCTGTTGCATATCGCTTATGAAAACGTATCGTGTGCTATTGTAGATTTTCAGCAATGGTTGAGACAGTACTGCAAGAAGTGTGCTTTTTAGAATTCGTTGGTTCCACTTTTGTAATATGCTTGCTTGAATATTATTGCATTACGGTACGTTTTTGTTGCTTCCCACTTCAGTTTCTATGAATTTATGATATTTTTATGATATTTTCAATAGGATTGGGAACAAAATAATACAATTGGTCTAACAACATATTCATTATTACTCATATCTTTGACGTTTAATATATTTTTATTATGTTACATTGGTAATCTTCTGATAGAAAAGGTACTTTTTGTTACATTTTTCTTATAAGTTTGGTAATGTAAATATGTTTAATATGTCAAAATTCATTAATAAATATTTTTTTTTATTTATTATTTCGTTTATAGAGTACTAATATTGGAATAGTATGTTGCATGATCGATTGGTATCAATTACCAATCAAGACAATTCAAGGCCTCATCTTAATGATCGCCATGTCGAATAGTCCAGCGAAAATTAGCGCTGGTGGAATAATTGATTTATCTTTATCCACTTTTGGAAGTGTGAGTTTTTAAATAAAATTTATATAATTCGAGTTTCATTTTTTACTAATTAATCTTAATTACAGGTTTTAAAAACATCATTTGCATATTTAAATTTCATTCGAACTACCATCGTATAATACTTATTTCATTGTTTTTAATAATTAATTGTAGAATAGTAAATAAAAAAATAGTAAATATAAAATAATATAAAAATATTTTTTATCTTTAAAATATTTTGCACTAGAAAATCAACACTCAGAAATATCTTTTACATATCTTAAACAATAATTATGATTTAAATTTTTTTAGAAAAAAATGATTATAAATTATCGTCGTTTACAAAATAATTATTTTTTATCAAAAAGAAAATAATTATAACTTATTTTATTAATATAGTATTTGATTATGAATTATGAATTATGATTACTCACTTTTTTACATATAATAAAATGTTTTATATATAATAATACAAATTTAACTACTTTCTTAATAATTTTCAATATAAGTTCTAATTGTGTAAACAGTTATCATTTCAATCCGTTTCACTTACGTTTAAACATAAAGACTCTATAGCATCAGTTAGTTTCCTTATTTCAGACGTCCGGTTCTCTCTTAATAATCGATTATCGAAGTACTGAAAAAGATGCACACACGCAACTTCGTTGAGCTTGCGCTCGCCGACTTGCAATCAATGTTATTGAGCTATCGTAAACAGTTGTATTCAAACTGTCAACGAACATGCATCTCATTACGCTAAATGAGAGTGATTGCAAAGCGCGAAATCTAAAATACAAGGAAGACATCACTTATGTAACCAAACATAGTAAATGGATTTTGAAATCCATTGGCATTTGGCCATCAATTCTTAAGGATGTCTCAAGATTTCTACCAAAAATCGTGTTTGGATTATGTAATTTTGTCCTATTTTTCGCCATTATACCATGCATCCTGTATATCGTAATCGAAGAAAATGATACTATGATAAGATTTAAATTATTCGGTTTACTGAGTTTCTCTTTAGTTGCCTTGATAAAATACTGGACACTTTTATATCGCAAATCAAGAATCAAGAACTGCGTCGAACAAATATGGATTGATTGGAAACAGGTTAGTAAATTAATTTAAAAAATTAAATAAGGAAAGATAAAAATAAAAATTAGAAATAGCTCAACAATTAATAGTCGTGTAATTTTTAAATTAGTCAATATATACTTTCTTAAAGTAAAAAATGTTTAGTGCTTCGTTAAGGGCACATCTCTACTGGATGTAACAGGTAGAATTATATGAGGATCGCGAAATGATGCTCAAATATGGACAAATGGGTAGAAATTTAATAATAATTTGTGCTATGTTCACATACACCGGTGGCACTATCTTTCACACGATCTTACAATATAAGATCGGTACATTTATTGATGAATATAATCGCACTATCAAACCAGTGATTTATCCCACGTATAACGGTCTATTTAATGTACAAAGAAGCCCCATTTATGAATTTGTATACATTCTTCATTGCATGTGTGGATATGTCATGCATTCTGTAACTGCTGGTGCTTGTGGATTAACCGCACTTTTTGCAACACATGCTTGTGGACAAATTGATATCGTTATAGCTCGATTAAATGATCTTATACATGGCAAATATACCAAAGAAAAAATTAATCTGAACGCACGATTTACAAAAATTATTGAACATCATTTGCGAATATTAAGGTACAATAATTAATTTATTAATATGAAAATATTTTTATCAATTATTAAAAATAAATATATATATACGTATCTAATAATATATGGCCGATTATAGATTTTCAGCAACAGTACAGGTGATATTGCAAGAATTATGTTTTCTAGAATGTATTGGCTCCACTTTTTTGATATGTCTGCTCGAATATTATTGTATAACGGTGCGTTTCTTTTCATTTTTCATATGAGTTTCTATAAATTCAAGATTTGTTTATTATAACAGGATTGGGAATTAAATAATACCATTAGTCTTACAACATATATAATATTATTAATATCTCTAATATTTAATATATTTATATTATGTTATATTGGTGAACTTCTAATGGAAAAGGTATATTTTTATGATGTTTACTAAATATATTTAGAAAATAATTATGCGATTCGGATAAAATTTGTAGAAGCATTTCATAAATTTTCCATTGAATATTAATAAATAAAGGAAAAATACAATAAAAAAATGAAAGAAAAAAAAATGTTTAAATTATCTAATGTAAAACTTTATATTTTTTTCCTATAAAATTTAATTTATGGAAAGAAAAATATAAATAATTAAATTAATAATTCACTTGCATTGAATATTTTTTGATTTTCATGTATTATAGAGTAGCAGTATTGGATTATCCTGTTTTATGATTGATTGGTATTATTTACCATCCAAAACAATTCAGGGACTTATCTTAATGATCGCCATTTCGAGTAATCCAACGAAAATAAGTGCCGGTGGAATAGTTGATTTGTCTTTGTCCACTTTTGGAAATGTAAGTTTTTTAAATGAAATATAATTTGAATTTCATTTGTTCATAATTAACTTTATATTTATAGGTTCTAAAAACATCATTTGCATACTTAAATTTTATCCGAACTACCATTATGTAATAACTATTTCATTATTATAAATAAAGAATAGTTATAGAATAGTAAATAAAAAAAGGAATTGTAATAACATTTTTTATTTTTGAAATATTTTGCACGAATAGAAAATACTCAGAAATATTCTTTTTCATATTAGTAGACAAGAATTATAATTTAAATTTTTTTAGCAAAAAATGATTATAATTGTCGTTGTTTACAAAATAATCATTTTTTATCAAAAAGAAACTTAGTAATTACAACTTATTTTATTACCAGTATTTGATTATGATTACTCACTTTTATATTTATATAAATATTAATTATTTTATACGAAATTATATATAATAATACAAACTTAACTACTTTCTTAATAATTTTCATATAAGTTCTTAATCGCTGTACACTTATGCTTCAATTCGTTTCACTTATGTCTGAACATAAAGGCTATAGCATCAGTTAGCTTCCCTACAATTTCAAATGTCCGGTTCTCTCTTAATAATCGATTATCGAAGTACTGAAAAAGATGCATACACGCAACATCGTTGAGCTTGCGCTCGACGACCTTGCAATCAATGTACCGAGCTTTTGTAAACAGTTGTTTTCAAACTGTCTACGAATATGTATCTCACTATACTAAATGAAAGTGATTATAGAGCGCGAAATCTAAAGTATAAGGAAGACATCACTTATGTAACCAAACATAGCAAATGGATTTTGAAATCTATCGGTATTTGGCCAATAGTTCTAAAGGATGTTGCAAAATTTCTACCGAAAATCTTAATTGGAATTACTAATTTTGTCCTACTTTTCGCCATTATACCATGTATCCTGTATATCATACTTGAAGAGAAAAATAATGTAATAAAATTAAAATTATGCGGTTTATTGATATTCTGCTCGATTGCGTTGATGAAGCACTGGGCGCTCGCCTATCGCAAACCAAAAATTAAGAATTGTATCGAACAGATACAAAATGATTGGGAACAGGTCAGTAAATTATTTAAGAAAATTGAATAAAAAAAATAAGAAATTAAAAGCAACTTAATAATTAATAATCATAATTTTTAAATTAGTTAATATGTTATTTCTTAAAATTAAAAAAAGCATTTAGTGTTTCGTTATGGGCACATCTCTACTGGATGTAATAGGTAAAATTATATGAAGATCGCGAAATGATGCTAAAATATGGACAAGTGGGTAGAAATTTAACAATAATTTGTGCTGTTTTTATGTATACCGGTGGCGCTATTTATCACACAATTTTGCAATATGAAATCGGTACGTTTATCGATGAATATAACCATACAATCAAACCACTGGTCTATCCCACATATAGCGGCCTATTTAATGTTCAAAAAAGTCCTATTTATGAATTAATATATGTTCTTCATTGCACATGTGGATACATCATGTATTCCATAACTGCTGGTGCTTGTGGATTAGCCGCACTTTTCGTAACACATGCTTGTGGACAAATTGACATCATTATAGCTCGATTGAATGATCTTTTACATGCCAAATATGGCAAAGGAAAATTTAATCTGAACGCACGATTGATAAAAATTGTTGAACATCACTTACAAATTTTAAGGTACAAAAACAAATTTATTATTATCAATATAAAAGAATTTTCATCACTCAAACACGAGATTACATAGTATAATATATTGTAGTACATTCTAGTCGATTACAGATTTTCAGCGACAGTACAAGTGATATTGCAAGAAGTATGTTTTTTAGAATTTATTGGTTCTATCTTTTTGATTTGTTTACTCGAATATTATTGTATAACGGTACGTTTCTTTTCATTTTTCACATGACTTTTTACAAATTCAAGATTTTTTTATTATGACAGGATTGGGAATTAAATGACATCATTAGTCTTACAACATACATAATATTATTAATATCTCTAACATTTAATATATTTATATTATGTTATATTGGTGAACTTCTAATGGAAAAGGTATTTTATTTTTACGATGTTTACTAAATATATTTAGAAAATAATTATGCAATTTGAATAAAATTTGTAGAAGATTGTAAAATTTATTTCATAAATTTTTTAACTTCTATAATAAATAAAAAAATATATAATAAAAAATAAAAGAAAAAAAATTTTAAATTATCTAATATAAAGCTACAATATATTTTTTCGCATTTTTTTATTTAGTTTATAATTAATAATATAAATAATTAATAATAAAAATATCTAAATTAATAAATCACTGCATTATTTTTTTGATTTTTATATATTATAGAGCAGCAGCATTGGATTATCCTGTTTTATGATTGATTGGTATCACTTACCTGTTAAGACAATTCAAGGACTCATCCTAATAATCGCCATATCAAATAGTCCAACGAAAATAAGTGCTGGAGGAATAGTTGATTTATCTCTGTTTACTTTTGCAAATGTGAGTCTTTACAAACATGTTGCTTGATCAAAATTTAATATATAATATAAATTCAAATTGTATTTATTATTTATACTTACAGATTTTAAAGACATCATTCGTGTACTTAAATTTCATTCGAGCTACAATCATGTAATAATTTAGCAATTTTTGTTTTATAATTAGCTTATATAACAATATAAGCTTATATAATAACAATATAGCTTATATAACTTATATAACAAGTTAGCTTATATATTAAATAAAAAAAATATATTATAAAAACATTTTTTATTTTTAAATTATTTTGCTTAATGATAATATATCACGATTATATATAGAATGAATAAACAAATAGCTTATTTGTTTATTAAAAATGAAAAAATTCAAAAATATATTTTCAATATTTAAAGTCAATAATTACAAAATAAATGCAATTTTTTTTAATAAAAAATTACAAAAAATAATCATGAATTTTTACAATATAAATATTTTTTATTAAAAAAAAAAGAAATTACAAATATAATTAATCATTTCTAAATCTTATGTTTATGTAAATATTATTATTTTTTACGAAGATATACATTATATAAAAAATATACATACCTTTTTATTTTTAATTGTTGTGTATTGAGACTTCAACCGTTTCTATCTATATCGAGATACAAATTTAGATTCTATAGCATTGGAAAGTTTCAACTATCATTTCAAATATTCGCTTTTCTCTTGAGTAATAATTGATTATGCAAGTAGTGAGAAAGATCCACATACGCAATATTGTTGAGTTTGCGCTAGACGATCTTACAATCAATGAGCTGTTGTAAACAGTTGTTTTCGAACTGTCTACGAACATGCATCTCACTACATTAAATGAGAATGATTACAGAGCACGCAATCTAAAATACAAGGAAGACATCGCTTATATAACCAAACATAATAAGTGGATTTTGAAATCCATCGGTATTTGGCCATCAGTTCTTAAGGGTATATCAAGATTTTTACCAAAAGTCGTGTTTGGATTCAACAACTTTGTCCTACTTTTCTCCGTTATACCATGTATTTTGTACATCGTATATGAAGAAAAAAATATTATGATAAAATTTAAATTAATCGGTTTATTGAGTTTTTCTTTGATTGCATTGATAAAATACTGGACACTCACATATCGTAAACCAAGAATCAAAGATTGCATTGAACAAATATGGATTGATTGGGAACAGGTCAGTAAATTAATTTAAAAAATTGAATAAAAATAAAAAGTTAAAAAACAACTTTCATGTTAATAAATTAATAATTGTATAATTTCTAAATTTTTCAACAGTTGGTTAAAAAGCATGGTCATATATTTGTATTATTTAATTATAATCTTTGTTATTTTATTAAAATATTTAGTGTTTTGTTAAGGGAACATCCTTATGGGATGTGGCAGGTAGAATTGCATGAGGATCGCAAGGTGATGTTAAAATATGGGCAAATAGGTCGAAATTTGACAATACTTTGTGCCGTTTTTATATATACTGGTGGTAGTATTTTTCACACGATCTTACAATATAAGATTGGTACGTTTATTGATGAATATAATCGCACGATCAAACCGGTAGTCTATCCTACGTACAACGCCCTATTCGACGTTCAAAGAAGCCCCATTTACGAATTAGTGTATCTTCTTCATTCCATTTGTGGATATATAATGTATTCAGTAACTGCCGGTTCTTGTGGATTAACAGCACTTTTCGCAACACATGTTTGTGGACAAATTGATATCGTTATAGCTCGATTAAATGATCTTATACATGGCAAATATACTAAAAATATGTTTAATTTGAACACACGATTGATAAAAATTATTAAACATCATTTGCGAATATTAAGGTACAATACTAAATTTATTAATATATTTATTGATATGAAAAAATTTTTATCAATCATTAAAAATAGTTATATATACATATAATGATTGATTATAGATTTTCAGAGTCTATAGAAATGGCACTGCAAGAATTATGTTTTCTGGAATGTATTGGTTCCACTTTTTTAATATGTTTACTTGAATATTATTGTATAACGGTGCGTTTCTTTTCATTTTCTTTTCATTTTCTTTTTTTTCATTTTTCATATAAATTTCTTAATGCTAAACTAAGGATTTATTTATTTATGACAGGATTGGGAATTAAGTAATACTATTAGTCTTACTACGTATACAATGTTATTAATATCTTTAACATTTAACATTTTCATATTATGCTATATTGGTGAACGCCTAATGGAAAAGGTATATTATATTTTTATATACTATATTTAATAAAAATATTTAAAAAATATAATATATACATTAGAAAAAAGATGATAATAACTTATCAAAATATAATCGACAATTTAAAACTCATATGTAGATAAGACTGTGGATAATGATTATTATTCCATTCTTATAAAAAAAATTGAATATGAAAATTTTTCTCAATTTATAATTATGAATATTTAAAAGATAAAATCTAAAGTCTAAAGTAAATGCAATTTTTTAATTTTTTATTTAATTTTTATTTTAAATTGAAGAAGTACTTTTTAAATTTTTTATTAATTTAAAAATTTTTTTTTGTATTGTGTACAAATAAAAACATTAAAAATGTCAAATATAACGAAAATTTCTACAAAAATAAAAAAAAATCTGTTTGATATATATATTTCATAGTTTCTTTATTTATATTTTATTTATTCATTTTTTTAATATGTTTGCTTTTTTTTCATCTGTTTCTGGTGTTCATCTTTTTTTATTAATTACATTTTCTGATATTTAATAATCGTATTGTAATAATTATAACTTATGTTATATTACTATAAAAGGAAAAAAAAATAAGAAATAGAAGAAATAAAATCACTTGATATAAATTTGTATTTTTATAAAATTTGTATTTTTATAAAATTTATTATCAATAATCCCTGTAAATATCTAAATTAATTCATACATAATTCATTACATTATATATTATTTGATTTTTATGTATCAGAGTAGTAGTATTGGTTTATCCTGTTTTATGATCGATTGGTTCGAATTACCGACAAAAACAATTCATGATCTTATTTTAATTATTGCTATGTCAAATAGTCCAATTAAAATTAGTGCTGGAAGTATAGTGGATTTATCTTTATATACTTTTGGAGGCGTAAGTTACTAATATTTAATTTTTAACTTTAAATTGTCAAATATTTCAATTCAAAATTATAGATTTGAAAACTCATTTGTTACTTATAATCTTTTTTATTTTGTAGGTTCTCAAAACATCACTAGCGTATTTAAGTTTTCTTCGTACTACCATTATGTAATATATATTTTATAATTTTTATATTATTTTTATAGTATTTGTAGAAGAGAAAATAAATAAATAAGATATATAATAATATAAGTTGTTCATTATTATTTTCTTAGTAAGATTTATAGATTATTGAATTATCAAATATTACTTTATTACTTTATAAATATTACTTTATTATAAATATGATTTACTTATTATTTTAAAATGTAATTAAATTATTGTTTATAAATATACATATAATTTATTACAAGTTTTATGTTATCTGCAATCAGCACCATCAAGCGTCAAAAAATATAACTATTTCACTATCCTCCATAATGATAATTGAAATTTTTCCTAATATCATATTTGACAATTATAAGAATAAAATATAAAACAAACTTTATTATACAATAGTCATGCATTTTTTGTACAATATAATGTATATATTTTACATATAGAAAAACAGGTATAAAATTAGAATATTAAATATATTAATATATTATTATTTATTCTATATTTATTTTTTCTATTTTGTATTTAACTTTGTAATAGTACATTATTTTTTATTCTATAAAATAACATATTAAGATATTTTAGATTTGTCATGTCATTTCGCACATTTAAATGCAAAAAATTTTTTAAAAATTTTGATATATTTTCAAATATCTACTTTACAGATTTTTTTTAATTAAATATATTATGTAAATTTTTAAAAATATTATATAAGTTTATTAAAAACTATATTGTTTCAGCATAATATTATAACATGCTATAAAAATATATATTAACAAAATGGCAGAAAAAACTACAGTGGGTGGTATTCCAGTTGAATGTTTAACTGGAGAACCTGCAGCTATTTGGTCTGGTTGGCGTATATTGGGAGATAGAGAACTTGTCAGGGAAGCATCTGCAAAAGGCACTCATATTAATCTTGCTTATAAATGTTTAGCTTATAGAAAAAGATGTTCTATTGAAAATGCTCAATGTTATTTCAACAAAGAAGTAGAAATTTGGATTACAGAACTTTTAAAAAGACATCAAATTTATAAAGCTTCTCATATTTTAAATAATATGGTATATAAAATTTAAATTACAAGTATGAATTTATTAAAAGAAATATTTTTTTAATAAATATAATAAATATATTTTATAATATATTTTCACAGAATAAAGATCCAGTAAGATATATATTTGAAGTTTGTATAAATTGTAAAGATTCTATGTTAAGAAATTATTTATCAGAACATTTAATAAATATTGCATGTTTTGAAAATGAATATATAAATTCATGGAATATAATAAAAAGCATTATACAATTTGAACAAAAACATATGTAAGTTTTTATAAATTTATTAGATTTTAATTAGATTTAATAAAATCTAAAATTAAAAAAATTAAAAATATAATTTATTTAATTTATTTATTATAATTTATTTATAGGATTAAAGACAGTTTAAGCATTTCTTTATGTATAGAAGATATTGTAAAACTACCAGAAATTGTGAAGCAATCATTATGTACAGAATTATATTTTTCTTTAAATGAAAAATCTCTTTCAAAAAATATAACTAACAATATATTATGGGATTATTTATTATCAAATAATAAAATTGTTCCCATAAAGTTTTGGATTGATACTTATTATGGTAATAATACAATAGAAGAATCAAATATGATTAAAGAAGAATATAAATTACTGTTTAATAATTTAGATATAGTTCCAAATATGATTGAATCTATTGATTCTTCAAGTGCTAGTACCTTCATAAAAAATTTAACTAAAAATCATTTATGTAGGTAAGTCTACATAAAATATGTTTATTAAAATTTAAAATATTAATGAATTTAAAATATTTAAATATTTATTTAATTATATGAACATAAATAGGTATGGTATATTTGTTAAAAAAGAACAACAAGATGTAAAATTATTATTGGCACGTATTTTTGGAAATGCAATATCAATATCAGAATTCAACACAATATTATCATACAAATCTTGTAATATTAATAGAAATGAATTTATGAGCAGAATTGATAAAGAATTATGTCTGGCACGTTGCTTGAATCAAATAAATATTCAAGAAGATGAAATTAAAATTGCTGAATTATATGATGCATTAACAAAAATGTGTGAAAGTCAAGACCAGAATATGTTAATAGAAGGAATTTTTAAAACAATTTATTATCTTTCTGATGATACCATTGAATATTTGAAAGAAAATTATTTAATAGTTTTACTATTAATATTTTCATATTTGTCTAAAGAAAATACAATGTATAATCAAAATAAAAGTGCAACTATGAAACAAAATATACTAAGAGATATATTTATAAATAAAAATGGTTTACAATTATGTAATTATAATATTTCAAATGAAATTCTTCAAAATACATTAGAACAAATATCAATTCTTAAATCTATTATAGAAAAAAAACAAAAGAAAGAAGTGACAATATATGAATTATTGGATGGTTACAAAAATTTAAATATAAAACGTTTATATAAATGGCGTTTTAATAATGAGTCTATGCCTTATTTTTCTAATGAAACTCTTGTTAAAAAATATGGATATACAGAAGCATTAACATATGAATACTACTTGAAAGAAGCCCGTCCTAATATGGCTATATTTAGTTTAAAACATTCTCAAGGAAAACTAATTGGAAATATTTCTTGTAGAAGGTAAAATTAATAATTAATAATTATTTCTTATAAAAAATAAAAAATTATATTCATATAATTATTACATTATTTGTAGGAAACATAAAGCAGCTCTATATGCACATATTTTTGCCTTACGAAATTTAAATAAACCAGAAATATTACATACTTGTATTTCTTTCATTGAAATGTTAAATATTGATTCAGAAAATTTAAGACTTCATATAACTGTGGCAAATTACATTGATAAGGAAATTAATATTTCTATTGGTAATTATTTCTATTATTTATTAAATATTTAATAAATTTAAATACGATATTCATAAATTTCAATATATTACATCATTTAATTCACAGGAAATTTACTAGAAAATATAATTTATGGAAATGAAAATGATTTAAAATCTGTAATGGATTATCTTGAAAATAGTTTTCAAAAAAATTTTGTTGAAAGTTTAATTGATGATAGTCAGCAATTTATAAATATATTGAAGATATGGGATGTTATTGTACGATTTGCAAGGATGCACAATTTTTCTTTGCCAATTAGCTTATTAAAATTTTTAGCAAATCAGAACTTCTGGTTTGAATTTGTGTTAGTTTGTCATATATTTAATTATTCTTTGAATCAGGTAATAATTTAAATTTTAAGTAATTTAAACAAAATATTTAAATATAATGGATTAAATATTGTGAATAAATAAATTATTGAGTAAAAAATAATTCTATAAGCAAAAACAAATTTTTTCATTTGTTTTTTATTTAAACTTCATTTTTAAAAAATTAAATTATCAACAATCACATTAAATATGTTCTTTTTTTCATTTTTTTTTTTTTGTAGAATCACTTTTTTATATTTTTTACTTAAAATATTTTTATTTAAAATTTAAAAAAAATTATTTTTTTTTTTTTTTATCTTTAGGTATTGGAAAATACAAAACATTTTGAAGATACAATTCTCAGAGAACATTTGTTAACTTGTTTGTGCAATGTTCAACTTACGAAATCTCAATTAGCTGTTTACAGCGAACAGAAGATAAAATCACGAGATGTTAGGCAATCATTATATTATAAAATTGGTGTTAAACAAAATGTAAATAATAAATAACATATTTTTATAATAAATTTTATTAAGTATTAAACTATTTTATTACTTAATAGGAATCAATTTATGGTTCTCCAGTATTAACAGATTCAGCAAGTACTTCTGAATCTCATGATATGTATGAATATGCTATAAGTGATAACATTTGTTCTCCAGATGATGATTTATGGTTAATTATTCTAAAATGTCATCAAAGCCCAGATCCACCTGGTGCTTTAATAAATTCATCTCGGTTAACCTTAAGACCTTTTCTTGCAGTTTTAGCAACCTGTTATGAGGTACATTTTCAATAATTTTAAAGTTTTTATATTCTATAAAATATTTAACAATATTATACTATACTATAAAACATTATTTTTATTAAAAATATTTTTTAGCCATCTTCAATAACAGCATATTGTTATTCTTGGATGGTAATATCTACTACAGATAAAGAGATTCTTTCTAATTATAATGAATGTTTAGAACAACAAATATGGACAGCCAATCAAGTTTCTAATTTATTAGAGCAAATGGTAAAAAATGGATATATCGATATTCTTAATAAAGCTTACAAAATTTTTATGCCTGTAAGTGAATTTTTATCTGCATATAAATATATTTTATATTATTTTAATAATATAAATTAATTATAGGAAAATCTTTTTAATTTATTTTTTGAATTTCTCGAACAATGTGCAATTTATGGTAATTTCAAAGATTATCAACAAAATTTATTGGATTTTAAAACACAGTGTATAGATCTCAAATGTAATGTATGTATTAAATACTATTTTTATTTTTATTTTATTTATTTTTAACATTTTAATCATTTTTAGGATGCAATGGATTGGAATTGTTCAGATATTACATATTTGAATAATTTATATTGGATTGCTACTGTTACAATTAAATGTGTTATTGCAACACTCGCTTATAGATTAAAAAGTTCACATTTGCAAATAAAATTCCTTGAAATTTTAATAAAATGTAATTTTCATAAAAATTTCCCAGGTACTGTAATGAATTATTTGATTAATTTTTATTAACATTAATTAAAAAATAATTTTCTTATACATTACAGTTTTCGTTCCAAATTTTCAGTCTTTTCTACAAATTATAAAAATTCTTCAAAAAACTAATGTCACATTAAATTTTGCGGCATTTACAGTATCAGATAATATTTATAGTTTTGATGCAGAAATTCATAGATGTATTGATGATTTAATAAGAATTGAAAATTACACTAGTGCTTTAGAATTATCAAATGTTATGGGATTCAGTTCATCTGAAATAATTTTAGCTCAGGTATTATCTTTTATATATATTTATATATTATATAATATTATATAAAATATATTTTATATATTTATTATATATAATATTATTATGATATATAATATTTTTATGAGTTTATTTTTTATTTTATATTCTATTATATTGATATTTATAGTATCGAAGTAAATTTAAATATTATATTCATAAAAATGAAAAAATTGAAGATAATTTTTGGTATGAATGTGCACAAAATTTTAAAAAATATAATATTCCATATAAGGAAGTAGTAGAATTTTTTGTTGAGCATGCTGAAAAAGTTACTTCTCATAAAGAAAGGTATGTATTATTTTTATTAATTAAAAAAAATCATAAATTTGATTTTTACAAAAAAATACATCTTTGAACAGATATGAAATATTAAAACTAGCTTTTGAAACTTTAAAAAATATTGAAACAGAACAACAAGATATTTATACACTGGAAATGGCAATGTGGAAATCATGTATATTAGCAGGTCCTGAAAATGTACAATTAGATAATGGACCTTATATTTTTAATAAACTAAAAACAGAATTATTATCAGGATTAAATAAATTGAAATTCAGCTATACATTAAATAATATACAAGAAAGAAATGCAGCTAAAATTTTAATTGATATATTAATTGATTTAGGTAGATTAGATACTGCATTGAGAATAACTACAATTTTTAATTATAAACATAAGGTAAATTTTAATAAATTTTAATTAATAAATATTAATAATATTAGTAATTTTAATTTTACTTTCAGGATTTACAAATTTTAATATTATGTTTAAGTCTAGCAGAAGGAGAAATTTTACCAAATGATTTAACTATTGAACAACAAAATCTTCTAAAAGAAGAAAATAAGAATAAACAACAAAAATATAGTGTCTTAAAGAATCGTAGCTTACAAAGATTTTCTTCATCTTCTTCATGTATTTTTGATTTTTATTTTCATTGTAACTAGTTGTTAATTAATGCATACTTACAATAAAAATTTTTATTACAGTAATCACCTCAATTAATATAAATGAAATGTCAAAAGATAAAACAAACATACAAATGGAATGTTTATTAATTATACAAAAATTACTTGATATTCTGGAACATGGCTTAGACATATGTCTTAGAATTGTCCTATGTTATAAATTAGCAATGCAATTAGAGAAAAGTTATCAGATATTATTAATATTAAACAATCCAATTCAATTTTTACAAGAAGTTACAGAAAGTAATATTAAAGATAAATCTGAAATTATTAATGATATAATTATTGCATATAAAATAGATAATGATACTGTTGCAACATTTTTGGCTGAAAATATTACACTAAGCATTACTTCTGCTGTAAAAGGTACATAATGATAATAATTTTAAATATATTAAATATATTTTAAATAATTTTAAATATAATTTTAAATATAATTTTAAATATAAATTCATAACCATAAAAAGTTATTATTTCTTTAGGTGGATATGAAAATAATATTTGTTTATGGGAATATTCTTTAAACACGAATTTTCGTATTATTATGGAATTATGTAATGATGTTTCACTCCTTGGTTGGAAGCTTTTAAAAACGGCAAATAAATTGCTTGGTCATTCTCATGGTGAAAAGACAAACGGTAATAAAATATAATTATTAATTATATTATCTATGTAACAGTTTATTATTTAATCTTTTTCTATTATTAGCATTAAACCTTAAAACAATCGTAGAATTATTAATACGAGCTCATGATTGTTTTACAACTTCTTGCAATATGGAAGGAATTGCATCAGTATTATGTAAATGTCAAATTTTCGCAAATATTTTACAAAATCTTAAATATTGGACATTATTGGTATACCATTTTTTAAAAATAAACAAAATTTTATACAATATATGTGTAAGATATACAATATCAAATAATTTTAGGTTCGCCTTGTAACAGGTGTTGGTCGTTTTACAGAAATGAATTATATATTTCAAATTTTAAAGGAAAATGATCAATTTGAATTTTTACTTGGAAAAGGACTAAATAAGGTTTTTTTCATTACTTATTTTTTCAAATACATATAAATACTTTATTTTCATATATATATATATATATATAT